AATCATTTGGCAAGCAAATTGACTAGTAGCAAATTGGGTCAAAAATATAATTCGTTTGAGCATCATGTTAAAAAATAAACACATTAGTAGCTTGCTCTAGTGATGTTAATCAAAATTACACTAATTATTTGAAAACGCCGTAGTGTTTCTCCTTCCCTAGTGATTTGAAAAGTCTCTTTTTTGTGCTATTGTTTTAAGGTTAAAAGTAATTAAGCAATTAGGTTAATTACTTTTGGTACTCTCTGTTCTCTTGATGTGTGGCAATCATGATAAAATTACATTAAAATTTAAAGAGCCTATATTATGGGTTTTTGAAAATCCACCTCCATGTAGTGTGTAACACAGCTCTAAGTGAAGTGAAGTATCCAGCTAAGGCTTAAATCTGTAAGTGTACAGTGTTTAAAACGGTTGATTCATCTATAAAAGAGTCGACTCATAGTGCTTCAAACGAGTCGCCTTGATACCGAGTCATTAGGTGTTTCGCCATGACGTACGAACGAAACCAAGTTATTCACGTGCACGCGCAAACCCGGGAGATTTCAAACCTGAGGCCCCGCCCTCTGACGCAGAAACCCAGACACACACACACACACACACCCACAAACACACGCACACAAACATGCCGGTTGATTGAAGTCACACTGCAGATGGATATTATCGAGTGTCTACCCAAAGATGAAACCTCAGCATTATAACCAAGCAGTTGGAAACTACTGGAAACTTCTGGAAACTACATGCTACAAAGAATACTTCATCTGCGTTTGTTAAAGGAAGGATCAGTAAAGAGTAAGTTAACTTACTGATGGACGTCAGGATGAGTTTCTTCCTCCATTTCTCAAGTGTAAGTACGTGCGATTAAAGTTGTTGCCTCGTTGACTCTAGCTTGCAAATGTATTTAGTTGTGAATTGTTACTTGTAACCGAGTGTACTGTATCAGGTTAACTGGCTATATTCACGCGACGCGTGCTGCTTTGTTTACGGAGCTCCGTGGTAGAGGTCTGCATTAACTTGTCAGCAGAGCGGTCGGTAACGGGTTTAATTTGGGATGGGAGCGGGCTGTCTAGCAATATCACGGATATTGCTATGCGAATGAGAAAGAGTATAGCTGTATAGCTGGGTGATTTTTGGTTTTGTTCTTCCTCGCTCTTTAGCGGGATCGGGCGCGGCGGGCAGAAAGTGGGGCGGGTCGGGAACCGGGACAACAAATTCTTAATATAAGCGGGAGCGGTCGGGTTCAGGCTAAAACCTGGCGGGTGCGGGCGGAAGCGGGATCGTTGTCGTCCGGAGGTGTGTGTGTGTTTTTGTGTGTGTGTGGCATCTAAAATCCACGCCTACACTTTCGAGCGTGTATGAACTGTGATTACTTTTTATATTGCTGATTAGCTATTGGGGATTTAACTCTCTGACTGAAGGCAGTCGACCAATCGCGACAGACTGTCATCGGTCCAATCAGCGCAGATTAGGTTCGCGCTAAGGAGGGGTTTGGGAACAAATGAATCACTGAACGATTCATACAGGAGTCGCTGGGATAATTAGGTAAAAATAAATGCAGATTATAAGACCATGAAAGTGTTTTTTTGACCTTGCATGCATATTAGACTGTTGTTGGAGACCCTTACAACCAAGATATGATCCTATTTCATGTATAATATGGGCTCTTTAATCTATTTATAAAGAAAAAGGGCATCTAATTCTGAATAATATAAAAGAGTATTGAAAGCACAATGATGCACTTGCTGTGGACATAAATCATCCATTTATTTTGCTCCTAAAGTTACTTTTTAAAACATGTGCTCATTTATTTATTACAACAATTCATTCATTTGACTTCAGCACTTTATTAATCCGGGTTCGCCACAGCAAAATGAACCACCAACTTATATGTTTTACACAGCTAATGCCCTTCTAGCTGCAACCCAGTACAGGGAAACACCCATACACTTTCACATTCACACATGTGCACTGCGGCCAATTTAGTTTAATCACCTATAGCACATGTCTTTGGGGGAAACCGGGGCACCCGGAGACAACCCTTGCCAACACGGGGAGAATCTGCAAACTCCACACAGAAACACCAACTGAGCCAGCTGGGACTCGAACCAGCGACCTTCTTGCTGTGAGGTTACTGTTCTAACCACTGAGCCACTGTGCCGCCCTATTGCAACAATAATTATTGCAATTAGTTTAATGCATTTACTTTTGATGAATTTTATGTCACAGTTTGACAGTACGGTGGCCGAGAGAGCTTAACGTGTTGTAGTTTTAAAACAACATGTGCGATTACAAAAAACGTCAGCAAATTGAGAAAAGATCTTCATCAGTTTGACAGCAAACGTACTGTAAATCAACGCAAATACAAAAAAACACGCTGCTTTTTCACACAACGCAAGCAAATAATAAAATGTGCTGCATTTTCTCTCAACGTAAACATTTTACGTAACATTTTTCTCAAAAAACAATGAAAATGTTTTAAGGAGGCCTTAAACGTGACGGACCCAGCTATTCAGATTATGGTTATTTAGGCTAATAAATACTAAAGACACTGGAAATAGGGATGTTAAAATAAATAAACAAAAAACTCACCTTTTAAAGATCACGTACAACTTCACCAAACAACAGTCACGGCACAGCGTTGTCCGTCACGTTTTTGGGTCCCCTTGAAGCATTTTTGTTGTGTTTTGTTCTTTGTGTGTTGTGAGAAAATGCAGTGCGTTTTCGTAAATTGTTTGCATCGTGAGAAAATGCAGCGCATTTGTTTTAATGTGTTTGCGTTGCGAGGATTTGCAGCACGTTTGCTGTCAAACCAATAAAATCTTTTTTTAGTTTGCTGGTGTTTTTTTACACCGTTATTGCTAATGTTTTCTTAAATTGCAGCATGTTAAGCTCTCTCGGCAATCGTATGACAGCCCTTAATATAATTGTAAAAAGTTGTATAAGTCTAAAGGCCTGCACACACTTGTATGATGTTTTTTCTTCTGGACACATCAGAAGACATTTTGAATAATGATGGTAGCTGAACAGTTTAGATTTCAATTGACTTCCATTGTACGGACAAAATTATAAAATGGAATTCAATTAAAGTGGATGGCCACCCGAGATACAGGTGACATTTTCTTCTGTAGAACATTTAAAATAAGATTTAAAATTTTATACTATGCTACTTGGATATACATTGGAGTTAAAGGCTACCAGGACTAAAATACCTAAATACAGGGGGAAAAAAATACCATTGGCTCCTGACCTGATGATACATTGAGATTAAGTCCTTTAAAAAATAATATGGCCTTTAAAAAACAAAATTCCCTAATTTTTTCACAAAAAAAAAAAAAAAAATTAATAAAAAAATTCGATTGAGGATTTAAATGACCCCCACCAAAAATGCTTGGAGTTGAAGTGATTAATCTATAAAACCAGTATAAACTTAACATAATTATAATTAATTATAGGATAAAAAATGCTAAAGAAAAAAAGAATTTTATTAACAATTTAAATTGAACAAGTTCTATAATTATATAGTTATTATAATTATATAATTGCAAACAAGATTTTTATAATAATGATATAAATTAATCCATTTTATACAATTTTAGTGAAGGTAAACTACAGTGAAAATAAACTCATAATGATTGTTAAAAAGGTTTTTTTTTTCAAGATGATTTATTGATTTATTAATTTCAATGAACATTTATTCAGAGGTTTATTCTTTTTTTATTTTGTGTTATATCAGTTTTCACATTACACTAGTGGGTTGCATTTATTGCTTTTGTTTGCGTGGGGTCACTGCATCTGGTAGATCAGTCTAGTGCAAGAGAGTTTTGTCAGTAGCTACGTTTCAATCCACCTATTTTTATGCACATTTTGGATATGCAGATAAAAATGGTTATTGGAAGCACCAAGATGCGCATAAATTATGAAAATGCACATAAATTATCGCATGCACATAACTAAGTAGAATAAATTTCTATTCAATAAGAAAAGATGCACATAAACTAGGTTGGAAACACTTACTGAACAAATTCCAGTATGCGTATTAAAAAAAATCATGTGATTTTGATATAAGAGATCATGTGATGATAAAAATGTGTGTGAATGGACAAACCGGCAGGAATGAAATGTTGTTTTGGTCATTCTAAAATGCCTTAACTGTTTCAGTATTAGTGTTATTACCTCCAGAACTGTCAAATGTGTCTTTGCTTCTGACACCTTCAAACGCCACCATGCGTTCACTGCATTTTGGCATCATCTTCTAAGGCGCAAGTCATTTATTAAATAAGGAAAAGATTCACGCAGTTTCTCCTAAGCAGCAAATCACGTTTTTACTTTTGATATTTGGCGCCAGGTAATCAGGAAGTGACGATTTTGTTCTCGTTGTATAGAAACACTGCTTTATTCACACGTCTTTTATGCGATATTCCAGTTTTGTACATAAAGTTAGTTGACATTTGTGGATGGAAACATAGCTCGTGTTGATATTTACCGTAATGAATGTCTTTGTTTTTGGGTCATGTCATTTATCTGAAAACAGTACCGTTGGGTACCAACATCAGATCGGTAACAGTTTATGTCATATGTGCGTCTTCTCCATTAATTGTCTTCTCCTTAACCCACCACGTGTTAGGGTGAAAACCGATTTTCATTCAAACAAATCAATGTAAAATTTACGCTCGAGTTAATCAATTAAAATGCATTTATCGTCCAGCCCAATTGAGATCAAACCAACTTGTCTGTGGAAGAAACTAAACATTATTTCCAGTGTCATAACTTTGAATCCACAGCCTCCTTTCACAGATATCCTAAGCATGTTCACATTGTGGATGTGTTTCTTGGACTCTCAATTATACGAATTACCAAAGACCACGGTTTCACCTAAACAATCTATCTACTGAAGAAATATTGTCACCTACACCTTGGATTGCTTTTATCTTAATGGATAAATATGCACATGATGATGCAGTTTTTCTATAATGGCTACTATATCTCTTCTTTATGTTGGTCATCAGGTCTCAAGTCTTTGGGCTTGACGATTGCCCAGTGCTATGAGGAAGTTGGTCTCCTGATGCTGTTCCTATCTGTGGGCATCTCCATCTTCGCCACTCTGGAATACGCTATTGAACATGACACGCCAGAAACCACCTTCACCAATGTCCCCAGTGCCTGGTGGTGGGCTACCACATCCATGACCACGGTAGGGTATGGAGACATCCGTCCAGACACGGCTGTTGGAAAGGTGATGGCCTTTATCTGCATCCTATCAGGGATCCTTATCCTGGCGCTGCCCATCGCCATCATCAATGACCGATTCTCCGCCTGCTACTTCACTCTTAAAATGAAGGAAGCTGCACTGAGGCATGGGGAGGTGCTGAAGAGACTGACCCGCAGCTCAGCCTCAGATATGTCGGCGATAGGGGTGAACCTGCGGGACGTCTATGCCAGAAGTGTGCTGGAGATGCTGCGGTTGCAGGGCAGAGAGCGAGCCAGCACACGCAGCAGTGCAGGAGATCTCTGGTGGTAACAGTAGGTCTGCAGCATGCTGGTGCAGAAAGAGATACTGAAGTTTTTTTACAGACCACTCTCATATGACAAGGAATCAAAATGTGTTTGCTGAAATAGGAAATCATATCGCAACTTGCCTCAAACCATAATTTTTAAAAAAATTACTGCAAAAAACTCTGAAATGCTCATGTTTCTGGCGTCATGCCACTGATAATAATTCCTAACACTGTGTCCTAACTACATGCGATTCAATGCCGCAACATGCAATAATAGCAACTCAGGCTCATTGTGGATACATACCAAGGCCTAAATTGCTGTGAAACCACAAATATGTACTTGGGGCTATGTCAAGCTGCATTTTGTGTGTGAAACGAACGATATGGGGTGGTATGAGGCCACAAACAACTTATTTTCTTTTTCACCCTATTGATCACTTACCTCCATATGGACTGCTTTTCTGGGGTTACCAGTTTGCTCAGTAGCTCGCCACGTACACCAATGGACTTGGGATGCATAGCGGAGTGGACCATAGCAGGGTTTGTGTGTTCAGGGTTTCAGAAACCAGGTTAAACAAAAGCAAAAAATATATACATATCAGGTTGAAAAAGATGGTAAAATCACCAGGCCGCAATGGCTTTTCTTTTCTAGATTGCTTTTTAAACACTATTAGTTGGGTCAGTCCACAGCAAGCTGATTGGTTAAAATGTACATTGCAGCCTCTGGTGGGTTTAAAAGAGAAGAGGATGCACAAATGGCAGGTATGAGAGAAATTTGAGATCATCAAAAATGTACACAGTGGATGGATTTACGAAAACAAAAACTGAAAGCAGACGTAACTCTGGGTACATATTTCACGGTTCCCAGAAATCTAGACCTGGGTACTTATCCACAATAAGCCTGGGTTGAATAAAAGCTATCTTTTCCATGTAAAAGCTAGTTTTTTCACTAACCCTTTCTATTTTAGAAATGCCTTTTCTATGCTGCTGGAATCCATCACATAGAACATTCATTCATTCATTTTTTTTTCGGCTTACTCCCTTTATTAATCTGGGGTCAACACAGCAGAATGAACCATCAACTTGTCCAGCATATGTTTTACGCAGCGGATGCCTTTCCAGCCACAACCCATTACTGGAAAACACCCACACAATTATTTATACACACACACAAACACACACACACACACACTCACTCACATACACTACGGTCAATTTTAGCATACCCAATTCACCTGTACCACATGTCTTTGGACTTGTGGGGGAAACCGGAGCACCCGGCGGAAATGCGCGCTAACATGGGTAGAACATGCAAACTCCACATAGAAATGGCAGCTGATCAGCGACCTTTTTGCTGTGAGGCAAAGGTTCTACCCGCGTCACCCGCATAGAACATATGCCAGAGTAATTAGCTGTTTATTATATTTTTGCAACATCACAGCTGAGCAGCAGCATAAACAACAATGGCAACAATTACCTCAGGAACAGATTATGTGCTTTATTCAGTGTTAAATGCTACAAATGTGAGTTTGCACACCATTTCACTTGACATTTATTGCCATGCAACTGAAAGCAGCAGCAGATAGCTCATCTCAGATCTTGGAAATAAATCTAACTAACAGAACTCCAGACTGCAAACCAACAAAGGCCACTCAGTAGCCTGTGTTCTAGGGATGCACTGAAATGAAAATTCATAGCCGAAACCGAAAACCGAAACTGCTCTTTTGGGCCATTTTCAGCATAAAAGTTTTCGTGGCCGAATATTTGGTGCATCCCTACTATGTACTGTACTTTTAATTATGACAAAGAGGTTTAATGTATAAGCTTATAACCCTTACCGAAGTGCGAAGTGGCTGGTATTTAAATTAATGTCCGGTATTTAAATGTTTCTGTCGTGACGTGTTCGGTGCGTGTATAGTTAGGACACAGTGTAAAGCTCAAAGTATACTTGGGTTTTTATCTATATAATCCACATCCCCTCTGTTTCTATTCAAACTGTGAAACAACTTTCAAATTCAGTGTTGACACCTTGTACACCAACAAAGTACAAAAAAAGTTCAAAGCACATGTGCAAGCAGCACATTCACTGTTAAGCCTGAGGTATACTTTATTTATGTACGCCTAATTTGTGTATATACAGTTGTAAATTACCCCAACTTGCCTAGTTAGCTTATTTAACCTTGGTAATTTTTTAAATGTCACTTTAAGATGAATACTAGCATCTTGAAAAATATTTAGTAAGTAGTAATATTATTTACTGTCATCTTGACAAAGATAAAACAAATCAGTTATTTTAAATGAGTTATTTAAACTGATATGCTTAGAAATTAGTTAAAAAAAATCTTCTTTCCGTTAAACAGAAATTGAGAATAATTTATCCTCATCAAGTGTCTGTGTTTTCTATCTCCAAAAGTTACGATCAAAAAGAATGTCCTTTAACTCCTTTCCAGACCCCTGTATTTCATCAACCCAGACACGTCCAGTCACACAAATGCTTGACAACGCACATATTTTGTTTTTGTCATCTTCAGTAGTGTGTTGTTCTTCTAACTCCGAGCCAACAGACTAGATCAATGTTTTGAAGAACACCTTTTAGTAGAACTAAGCAGTCCAAAAACAATTTAAAGAACATGTGTGAGCTGCATGCCATGTTTATTGCAAAAACTGGACCGTTCACATATATAATGTACATACTATTTTAGGGATGAAATCTGCATAACATTTGCTGTATGCAAACTGACATGTAAGTGGAACAGGCAAAGTATAATCTGGGCTTTATGCACAAAATGCAATGTACACATGAGTAAAATCTTAAGTATACCTTGAGTTTAACTTTGCTGTTACAATCTAATGCAGCAGAATTGCAAAGTGGCTAAAACCGTATTAACATGAGCACAAACCTGCAGTTGGTGCTCATTATTGACCTTATTCTCCACAGAAGAGCGGGCGCTGCCATTTGAATCTTTTTGGCACGAGACTTCCGGTCTCATTCACTTCCATTCATTTTTAGACATTAAAAACTGTTCGTTTCGCTGTTTGTTGTTGCAAACTGATATTTCCTTGTTATATTATTCTACTTGGTCTGTATAGTCATGCAAACATTTGTTTGTAGAGCAAGTAGTTTGACCGTTTTTTGCCGTTTATTATACCTTGTCATTTCTCCCATAGGCGACTGAAACGGAAGTTCTAAGAAAATCGCGAAAACAGGCGCACTTCCGCATTTTAGAATAAGGTCAATACATGCAAATGGGGCATTTCTTTGCGATGTAACAGAAGAGGTGACGTCTGTACTATAATATACATCCAAGTGAACCAGATTAGTAAAAAAGAAGTAAAAATTGATTTGAATCTGAGCTTGCAAAAAAGAGGCAGGATTTAAGGAGACTAAGCTATTATCTGAAATAAATCATTAGAAATAAGCCATTTAACTGAAAAATCTGTTTGACAATCTGTTTTTTATATGAATAGTCAATAGATAAGTAAATTGTTTACTACAAGATCAGTCACATGCATCTAGAAAAATTATTTCGAAACAGTTGTAAAATGAGGTATTATTTTTTATTATAACGATTACAACTTGACTGTGGACCGCAGGGGGTACAATGTGTAAGGCTTAGGCTGCGTCCGAAACCGCATACTTCCATACTATATAGTACGCTGAAATCAGTATGTGAGCCGAGTAGTATGTAAGAATTCATAAGCTGCGTCCCAAATCGTATACTTATGCACTATTCTACGCCATTTTGTAGTATGAATAGTGTAAGTAGTGTGTTTACACTGAAAACTCTAAAAATAATAAGTACACTTTAATTACCCGGATGATGCACTCATTCAGCCGCTAAAATGAAGTGTGTAATGATGGACACTTCACGCACTCAACGAACGCAGGTTTGCTTACGTAGCGGAAGGGGCGGAGCTATCGGACGCACATGTTGAATAACTTTATTTATTTTGGATGGTGAAAGCAAAATTCTCCTACAAGAGTGATTATAGCGCCTCCTGATGGTCAATACGGCAGTACTTACGGCAGGTATTATTTGATAATTCAGTTGTTTATTTCACTGATTTGGCAACCGTCAAACGTCATCAGGAAAACGGTTTGAATTTCCGCTTAGTAAAAAAAACATTAGTGTGCCATTTGGGACAACACTACATACATATACTATCCTGTTGAGTGTGTAAGTGCATAAGTACATAGTGCATGAGTGCATAGTGTATAGTGTGCCATTTGGGACGCAGCTATAGAATTCGAAAAACAGTATGTGAGAAGTACCCGGATGATTTACTACTTCCGCCGAGATTCTGGAGTGTGCATCCCATGCATGCTGCACTATCCCATGATGCCCCGCGAGCAAATTCATGAATGGGAGTAAAGCAATCGTTGCAAATTACGCAGGTAGGTCACGTGACTATGTCAAAATGCCGGATGTAGTACGTCCGAATTCCATTCATACTTTTCACATTCATACTGTATAGAACGTACTTTTCTAACGGCCGAGTAGTACGTTTAAATTTAAAAGCAGTACCTACTGAGTAGTAGGCGGTTTCGGACGCAGCCTTACATTCACCAGCTACTTTATTAGGTACACCTGTCCAACTGCTTGTTAACTCAAATTTCTAATCAGTCAATCCCATGGCAGCAACTCAATGCATTTAGGCATGTAGACACGGTCAAGACGATCTGCTGCAGTTTAAACCGAGCATCAGAATGGGGAAGAAAATTGATTTAAGTGACTTTGAACGTGGCATGGTTGTTGGTGCCAGACGGGCTGCTCTGAGTATTTCAGAAACTGCTTATCTACTGGGATTTTCATGCACAACCATCTCTTGGGTTTACAGAAAATTGTCTGAAAACGAGAAAATATCCAGTGAGTGGCAGTTCTGTGGGCGCAAATGCCTTGTTGATGCCAGAGGTCAGAGGAGAATGGCCAGACTGGTTTAAGCTGATAAAAAGGTAACAGTAACTCAAATAACCACTCGTTACAACCGAGGTATGCAGAAGAGCTTCTCTGAATGCACAATACATTAAACCTTAAGGCAGATGGGTTACAGCAGCAGAAGACCACACCGGGTGCCACTCCTGTCAGCTGAGAACAGCAAACTGAAGCTACAATGACCACTACTCTACCACTATAATGTACACTACTATGACCACAGTGCACCCACTTCCAGCAGGTTAACACACCATGTCATAAAGGGTGAATCATCTCAGACTGGTTTCATTAAAATGACAATGAGTTCACTGTACTCAAATGGACTCCACAGTCACCAGAACTCAATCCAATAGAGCACCATTGGGATGTGATGGAATGGAAGATATGTATCATGGATGTGCAGCCGACAAATCTGTTGCAGCTGCGTGATGCTATCATGTCAATATGGACCAAAATCTTTAAGGATTAGTTCTAGTACCTTGTTGAGTCTATGCCACAAAGTATTAAGGCAGTTCTGAAGGCAAAAGGGGTCCAACCTGGTTATAGTAAGGTGCACCTAATAAAGTGGCCAGTGAGTGTATTTTAAAAATGAAGTGTTGACTTGTGCACCTTTATTGGCACAAAAACAAAATAGCAAAAATCTTTTTTTTTTCTTTTTTTTTTCTGACAGGTATTTCAATTCAGGGTTTAACACTAAGGATTTTGTCTACTGGCCTGATTTTTACTTGCCCTGCCAAAATTTTCACTGGCCCCACAAAAAAAGTTAATTGCTATCTCTTAGCTACATAATAAATAATGTGTCAAAATAACAAAAGTGATTTTAGAATTTAAATATTAAAAAATAAAAAGATAAATGTATATTGAGCAAAATTTAAAGTGTTATGCAAACAAAAACAGCTGTATCGAAATCGTGCAGGTATTTTTTTGCAAAACAAAAGGTGGCTGACTTGCCAAACTGAGGGCAAACTGTGCAAAACAACACTTTCGTTGTGTTGTACCCACATTAATGTCTGCTTTAAAATGACTTCACAGAGAAGATGACATTTAAAGGCTTAAAAGCACAAACTGATATCGATTCTAAGACTGTGTTTGCATAACTTAAGTGACAAGGCAGCACTGGCCTGATTGGGCCAGTAA